AGGCTACGTACCGCAGGCTTTTAAAGATGCTATAATAAAGCCACTTCTAAAAAAGCCTACACTAGATCCAGGTGTTTTAGCCAATTACAGACCAATATCCAACCTTCCTTTTATCTCAAAAATCCTTGAAAAGGTCGTGGCAAACCAACGATGTGATTATCTGAATGTAAATGGTTTGGCTGAAGCGTTTCAGTCAGGATTTAGAATCCATCATAGTACAGAGACAGCATTGGTGGAGGTCACTAACGATCTTCTAGCTTCAGACAGTGGACTAGTGTCCGTTCTGGTTCTATTGGATCTCAGTGCAGCATTTGATGCTGTTGATCATAGCATCCTATTACAGAGACTGGAACATGCGATTGGGCTTAAAGGGACTGCGCTGAACTGGTTTAAATCATATTTATCAGACAGATTCCAGTTTGTTCATGTTAATGATGGTTCTTCCAGCCGTACCAGAGTTACTTATGGAGTTCCTCAGGGTTCTGTGTTAGGACCAGTATTGTTTACTCTGTACATGCTTCCATTAGGCAACATTATTAGGAAGCACTGCATACATTTCCATTGTTATGCAGATGACACCCAGTTATATTTATCTATGAACCCTAATGAAATCAATCAGTTACTTAAACTCCAGGCATGTCTGAAGGACATAAAGGTCTGGATGACCTGTAACGTCCTTCAATTAAATTCAGACAAAACTGAGGTTATTGTATTTGGCCCTAAACACCTCAGAAACTCACTATCTGACCAGATAGTTACTCTAGATGGCATCGCCTTAGCATCTAGTTCCACAGTAAAGAACCTCGGGCTTACTTTTGACCAGGATATGTCCTTTAACTTCCATATAGAACAAACATGTAGGACAGTTTTCTTTCATCTTTGTAACATTGCAAAAATCAGGAGCATCCTGTCTCAGAGTGATGCTGAGAAACTAGTCCATGCATTTATAACTTCTAGGCTGGACTATTGTCATATCTTTATTATCGGGATGTCCTAATAATTCTCTTCTAAAAGTCTCCAGCTTATACAGAATGCTGCAGCCAGAGTTTTGACAAGAACCAATAAAAGGGATCATATTTCTCCAGTATTAGCTTCTCTCCATTGGCTTCCTGTAAAATCAAGGATCCAATTTAAAATCCTGCTTCTAACATATAAAAGTCTTAATGATCAGGCTCCATCGTATCTTAAAGACCTTATTGTTCCATATTATCCTAACAGAGCCCTTCGTTCTCAGACTGCAGGTCTACTATTGGTTCCCAGAGTTTCTAGAAGCAGAATGGGAGGCAGAGCCTTCAGTTATCAGGCTCCTGTCTTATGGAATCAGCTCCCAGTTTGGGTTCGGGAGGCGGACACCCTCTCTACCTTTAAGATTAGGTTAAAAACTTTCCTTTTTGATAAAGCTCATAGTTAGGGCTGCTTGGAGTCATCTGAGCTGTCCCTTAGTGATGCTGCTATAGGTTTAGACTGCTGGGGGATTCCCATGATGCACTGGGCTTCTCTCCTCTCCTCTCCTCTATATATATGTGTGTGTGTATGTATATGTTTATATAGTTGCCTATCACCATTACATATGACTAACTCTGTGACTCCCCCCGAGGTTCTCCTGTGCCTGTTCTCTTGGTGGATGTCTCTGGATCTGGAGCTCCTGAACTACAGCCGCTGGCCTCACCTTCTGCATTCTGTTGCCCCCACCATGATGCCT